AGGTAGAAACTTGCCAAATTTTCAACAAAAAAAAAAAAAAAAAAAAAAAAAGAGAGAGAAAGAGAAAGAAGTAGAAAACTTTTCTGTCCTCATTTGTAAGTCCCATAGACAATAAATATTAATAGACAATGTTGTATATATACTGTTTTGGTTAGAGGAGCGTCCGACATAATTTCAGTTAAAAGTTCAGATATAAATGTTAATTCAGATTCCCAGCTAAAAGGGAGTTTAGCCATATTCCTGTCCCTTTAGGAATGCTTTAAAAACTTTGATCAGTTTAAGGGCCTTGACAAACAGGAGCATTTTGGGCGTGTCTCAACCGCTGGCTTTCTATCTCCTTTTGTTTTGCTTTGTTTCTTTTGGGGGGCAGGAATTTGTCAGTATCCCTCTGTTTGCTGACAGGTTGGTTATATAAGGTTAGCGTTGGCCTCATCATCATAAAATCTTCTTTGCCCGGACAGCAAGTTCTCAGATTCTGTCAAATGAGAACCTTATCCTGAGAAGCCGACAGGTGTGCACAGTGGCAGGACAGGGCGGGCCTCCCCACCAAGATCATTATTGGGAAGGAATCTGGGAAAAAGGAGCTTGGAAATAAGAACTGTCATTATAGGGTGCTTAGAATGTTTCCGATGAACCTATTGCCAAAAGAAGCCTAGACCAGAATCAGATGAGGGATATTTATGGAGCACCTACTGTGCGCAGTATGAGAAAAATATAGGCTTCACTCTCTGCCTTCTGTAGCATAATGTTAATAACACTAAGTAGACTCTTTTATGGAATCTTACTAAATGTTAGGGACTGTGCTAGGCACCTTTTAGGCCTTATGTCATCTTGATGCAAGTAGCATAATTGCCTTCATCTAACAAATGAGAGAACTGAGATTAAGAAAGATTGAGTAACCGTCCAAAGCCACACAAATGGCTAGTTGGAGTCAGGACTGGAACCCAGGCCCATGTGAGTCCAGCAGCCATGGAGCCTAGCACACCTGCAAATCAGGAAGCAGCACAAGGCAGTTTATAATCTGTGCCAGAACAAGTATAAGAACTGGAAACGCAATACCTTGTTGAGAGAAGAGGGAGATTGCCGTGGGTTGGGGCAAGGAGGAATGTTCTCGCCGAACATGTGACTGCAGAGTTGCTGGGGCCTGGGACAGGAAACCAATCGCTGAAATGCCTAGTTTGCTTCTCTGAGTCTTCGCTTTGTCTTTCCATCAGAAAAATCGGTCCGAACTGAAAAGAGGATATGAAACCTTTAAACCAGCACAGGGTAGAGCAGAAACACAGCCTGCCTTATATCCTGGCAAATTCACTTTTAGTTCCAAAGTTGGGAAGTTCTAAAAGGATCAGTTAGCTGAAATTTGGGGAAAATTTGGCAGGCCTAAGCGGCCCTATGGGTGTGCTATCCATTTTGAGCTATCATTCAGGGCAAAAGGGAGATGATTTCTGACAGCAGAAAGAAAGGAGCCTCGATGCACTTTGAACGAGACTTTTCATTGACAGTATAACGTCCACTAAGTCTAGCTCTGTACCAATCCCTACTTCACTGACAGTGCAAATATAATGTGAAGGAGAAATTTTTGAAATACCTGAGAGAACAAACTTCCCAAGCACTTTCAAGAACTTGAGAAATGCTGGTGTCTTGAATAAGAGGTGCAGAGGCCTGGATCTGTAAAACAATGGGGCCAGTGCACTGTCAGACTTTGCTCAGCTCTGAATTTCTATATATATTTAGAGGCTAATTCAAGTTAATGGCATTTGTCATAAAAATAATGGTTGACTATCTTGGCGGTAGTCAGCTTGAAGAAGAGAATGATGCGAAGGTGGACTATTTGGTGCACGATAACTGCCTTCAAATATTTAGAAAACACTGGAGGAAGAGGGGCCGAACAGTTTTATATGAAAAGCAGAACCTCGCAGGGGGGTAGATTTCAGCTCAGGTGAAGGAAAAACTTTTCTAAGAGTGAAATGGTTTCTCTATCAGAATAGTAAGCCTCATTGGGAGCATCCAAGGGAAGCTTGAATGAAGCTCTCTGCAGGATGAAGCACACAGGAGCTGGACTAAGATCCTTCCAAATCTGAGAGTCTATGTCCTTGAAAACAATAGAACCGAATACTTTTAGGAAGTAGTCAGATCATTCCTTAATTCCAGCTAGCCTTCTCCCCAATTCCTCTGGATTTCAGAGGTTTCACTGCATTCCTAAACAGGAAAACCTCTGGGGGGGAGTCAGGATCTCAGCCGTCCTTGGCCGTGGTGGAAATCCAGAAATAGAGCAATAAGGTTAAGCAGTTTTCCAAACTATTAGACCTTTTCATCAGCTGCTCTTCCCATGCCTTTTGCAAATGACCTACTAACTCCCAGAGAGAAAATATTGAGAGCCGCACAGTCCTCTCTGCAAAGGCTATTAGGTCCTTCCCCACCCTTGGAATCGCTGCACTTCCTGTGGTCTTTCCTTCACCCTCACAGGCATGGAAGGAAGGAAGGCAGGTTTCTGGCCAGCACAGAGCACTTTGGAGCCCTCTAGTCCAAGAATCTGGAGACATGGGGTCCGACGCAGCCCAGTCGTTAACCAGCCGGGCAGCCTCATGCAGGTCACTTCTCTTCTCTAGATCTGTT